TGTATGTCAATCAAATATCTAATATTGCCAGGTTCCCTTCGGTCGACTTTTATCACACCGAAGTATCTAAATGGGTTGATGTATTTTTGAAGTCGTCAACACATAGCAAATTTCGATATATTTATAATAAAACTATTAATCCCTTACATGAGTGAACTACGGGTTTGGTTCTACTAGGGTAGGACCATGCTCCAACAGGTGAAAGAACAGCATAATGCATGTCTCATATGGTGAGTGTAGAGAACCGAAGAACCTTTTTACTGTTAACGAGGCACTCCATCTTAGCCTTCAAGGGTGCAAACGCATCTCTGCATTTTGAATTAAATCTAAAGAAGTAATTTACGATAAGGCGTCTATGGGGCACGGTAAAGATCAGTTGTTCTGTGTGGTAGTTTTTCACTAGTTTTACTATAAAAAACAATTTTGCTTATAATGATCAAAAATGGCGTGCCCGTGTAGTGGCGGTTACGAATATTCACTACCCCATATCTCCCCTTGGGTGTCATAAATGGCGACAGAGGGCAACAAGTAGGAGATGGGCAGAAGCTTTTTCCTGTTAGCAACAATAATACAATTAAAAAACTGCGGTTACCAGCACGCTCGCAGCGCGTGGTAACGATGGAAATACACCCCCCATGATGAGAGTTACGCAGGAACGGCCCCAGTCCCCGACGACCCCGCTATTCCTGGCTACGGTGACGACTACGGCAATGGCGGGGTAGGGGTGCTAAGAATCTATAGTGGAGATACAGTTGCCACTTAAGACAACTTGACCTGGCAACATATAACGCACGTATCCTGAGGACTGACAAGAAGAGACTGGAGCTGGAAGAAGAGATAGACAGACAGAAGTTGCACTGGGATGTTATAGGATTATTGTAGGTTTGAAGAGAGGGAGAGGACACGGTAATCCTCGAATCCGGCAACGTGTTCTATCATCAGGAGGGCAACCATCTGTCCAAAGGAGTTGTCGGATTTATCGTCCACAAGTCTCCCGTTAACAACGTTGTAAATATTGTGTGTTGACGAAAGTTGTGTACCTCAAACTCAGAATCACCGAACGGTATTCGTTAAAGGTCATACAGGTTTACTCACCAACCTTGTCACATCCCGATGAGGAGGTGGACGAAATGTATGAGGATGTCTCTAAAGCCATGCATTCTTTCAAAACTCACTATACGGTGTTAATAGGAGACTTCAATGCAAAACAAGAGAGAATGGTGAGCTGAACGTAAAGAAATTCGGAATAGGGCAACAAAACCCAAAGGGCCCGTTACGTAGTAGTTAGTAGTAGTTTTCGAGAGTCCATTACGAATCGTCTCGCAAGCAGACTCGGCGACTTCTAGCCTCCCGTACAAGCCAGTTTCCGAAAAGGTTTTGGTACCGTAGAACACATACATACTCTTCGGCAAATTGTACAGAAGACCAAAGAGTACAAGCCACTTTGTCTTGCGTATACGGACAATGAGAAAGCCTTTGATCCCGTCAAAATTCGGCAGAGCTACAATTCCGTCATCAGTGCCAAATTGAATTTCTTTATATCGAAGTGCTGAAGTGTTTGTACGGTTGGGCTACGATGTCCATTCGAGTACAGAACCAGAGTACGAAACCTATCCAACTGTAGAGAGGTGTAAGACAAGGCGACGTTATATCCCCGAAATTCTTCACCGCTGCATCGGAAGACGTTTTCAAGTTACTGACTCAAGGACTGGAAAAGATACTGTATTAACATCAATGGTGGATACATTACTTAACTTCGATTTGCCGACGATATAGTCCTTATGGCATAATCACTGGAGGACCTAAGTTATATGCTCAATGACCTCAATAGTGTGTCCCAACAGATAGGTCTTAACATGAACATGCACGAAACAAAGATTATGTATAACGTCCAAGTCACACCTATGCCGGTAGATATGTGGAGCACTAAGCTCGAAAGTGTTGACGAGCATGTTAACGTGGGACAAATAGTTCGACTAGGTAAGTCCAACTTCGACCCAGAGGTCAATCAACGGATTCAACTCGGCTGGGCAGCGTTCGAGAAATTACGGCACATCTTTTGGTCAGGTATATCTCAAAACCTGAAAACGAGATTTCATAACCAGTGCGTGTTTCCAGTGATGACTTATAGATCTGATACATCGTTCTTAACTGCTGACCGTATGAGAATGCTCAAGGGCACTAAGTTAGCTATGGAGAAGGCTATGCTCGTGGTTTCTCTGCGTGATAAACATAGAAATGAGGATATCCGCAGTAGAACCAGAGTGACCGACATAGTTCAACGGATTGTAAGCTGAAGTGGCAATGGGCCGGCCATACAGCTCGAACAAGAACCGACAATCGTTGGGGAAAAAAGGTTCTCGAGTGGCAGCTTCGTACCGGTAGGAGTAGGGTATGGCGACCCCCCGCTAGATGTAGTGACGATCTGGTAAGACATGCAGGAAGTCGATGGATGCAGGTGGTTCAGGACCGTGCTTTGTGGCATACCTTGGGAGAGGCCTATGTTCAGCGGTGGACTTATGAAGGACTTTAATGATGATGATGATGATGATCTTACGAGCTAGTGAATACTTATTGGACTTACATTTCCCATTAACCAAGTGCATGCATCCTTGGTAGTGGATTTGTGAAGGGCTGTAATGATGATCTATGACGATCCTTAGTTAACAAATTTCTTAGGAAATGTTCTCAACATGCAGGTTAGATATGTTTTGTAAATTTTAGTACGAGTTATATTCTTTTGTTATATATATATATATATATATATATATATATATATATATATATATATATATATATATATATATATATATATGTATATATCAGGTACAAAATGTAAATATAATATTTACGAGGGCGATATAACATTGGTTATATACAATGTAGCAAAAAATTAAGGAAGAGATGTCAGTGAATCCGATAAATGACATTCGATTCAGTATCATTTCAGATCTCTTTTGTGTGTATTTATCTGATTACATGTCTATGTTATAACTTCATAATGTTAAAACCCAATACATAAAATGTTAAAATCCTTTTTTTAAATTGTTGTCACAGGCTTAAGGTTGAATAAATAATTTATACTCATAAAAGCGTACGCGTTGAAGTCTTTAGTATGACACTTTAAATCATTCTCTTTATGTAATAGGTATAATCATTAGGCTACACAGTCTTCTAAAAGGAATGATGATTTAATATATATTTTTAAAAATAGTCTTAAACTTTAGGACTTAGTTATATGTTCCATGTTAAATGTTAAATTAAAGTACGTAGTTTATCTGCGTGTGGATTCAAAAACATCTTTTATCTTAGTAAAAGTTTGAAATCCACTTTTTATAACAAGGTAATAATCAGGTTAATTTGTTTCAATCGTAATTTCTTTGTAATTAGGTACGGATGGTAAAGAAATGAAAGTAAACATGCGAAAGTTTTATGTATTTCCTGTTCAATTCTTAATTAAAGCTCGTTTGGAAGTTATAAAATTTTAAATAGATTATTGTACCTTCCTGTGATTTTATTTAAATCGTTAGAGCAATTTTTAATGTTTTAGAGAAAGTAAAGAATATAAGAGGTAAGGTACTGAATAAGTGCCTTGACAACACAATCAACCTGAAAGAAATGGATCTTGTGGCTTAGAGACACCTCCATCTATTCCCGAATAAGAACATATAGATTCTTTGTCACCACTGAAGACTTAGGAAGAGTGCATCGTTATCGTTATAGAGATATTACCACGTGGTAGAGCCATAATGCACACATATCATATAAAATAGAACCTTAATGCTGTTGTGTTTCATATGTTGAGTGTAAAGAACCGGAGGCCCTTTTTACTGGATACGAGGCTTTCCATCTTAGACCTCAGGCGTGACAACACATCGGCATTGTGATTCCTAACTGAGGATAGATGTATATCTATTGTTACAGTCTATGGGTTACAGCATCCGCTTACCATCAGGTGAGCTGTGTGCACGTTTAGTCATCTTTATTCTATACAATAAAACCTTTAAAAAGTTGCTGTGGTTCTTGTCACCTACCACCTGAAACACATCATCATTCTGCTTCCATCGTACGCTAATATAGTGTGGGAGCGTGATTCTTCCCTAGTTGACTTGAACCATCCAACAAACTCTTTGACCTGGGTTTGATTCTCGCCGGCACCAATGAAATTTGACGGAGTGGCTTAGAATTGAGTTGAGGTCGCCGGCTTGAAGCCCGTCCGGATTAAGTATTTGTGTGGCCTACAAATAATTGTCTGGATGTTTCTCCTTGTGCAGAACCTTGAGGTTGAGGTAAAGTTTTTTTTTTAAATAAAAAACGTTAGTTGCAGGTTGAAGTACAAAATTTTCCACTTGCTCCTTCGTGAAGAAATAACAATGTCCGAATATATTTTTAGGAAATCTAAAGATCATCAACACGCACTAAAGTAGGGTGGCGAAATATAACGTTCTCAGAAATGAGAGTAGGCTAGGCCCAGCTGAAGGACAATACAAGCTGTAACTTTTGAATCTTCCTTGTGCAAGAATATCAGATCTGCACTCACCAATGCACCTTTGTGGTGGTGAGTACGGGTAACTCTTCCAGAATGCAAATCTACCTCATCATCTCACAATTCGTGAGAAAAACTTTGTCTAGCAGGATATGAGGAAAGGTTTTTTTTTTTTTAATTTTTTTTTGTTTTTTTTAATATTTAATTTTTTAAGGGGGGCGGGAAAGGGGTTGTCTCCCCCCTTGGGGGGGGTTTTTGTTTCGTAAATATTAATGATAAATGATGAATACAATTACTATTTTATTAGACAAGTGAAAAATTGTACAATTGATCCAAATTCACTTGTATTTGCAAAATACAATGCAGCAAATATTAGTAAATCAGCAACAAAACCAGCTTGAGTGAAAACTTTCAGCCGTCCGGTGTTTTCACCGGAAAATGCGATAAACAAATCGCTCGCTGGCGATTAGAAGTAGGGCCACTTTTACGTCTATAACACCCAGAGATTTTACTTATGCGATTTCGTTCCGCGACTTCCATCCCAGTGGATCATTTCACCAAACCCGCACGCCGCATTCAGTTGCGCCTGCGCACCGACGAGGCTCGCACGCGCCTCAAGTCGACACCGGGGCCGCACAACCGCGCCGCGCAGCCAGTGCTACTGAAACCTAGGAACATCTGTGACAGTGACATGGTTTTGTGCTCTAAACGGATTACTTTACGGTGTCAATAAAAAAGTAAGTGTCACTTCCGTGATTCACACCAATTACGATATTGTATCGCGAATTTGATAAATACGATGTGCGATGTCATTGCACGCAAAATTACAAAAAAAAAAACTATTAAAATGTAATACACAAATAGTTGCATAGAAATTTAAATTATATGTTCATTGTATCTCAGCTCAGTTTACTGTAAAGAAATGCAAGAATTAACGCACGACAAGTTCAGCACAAATGGAGAAACACATCAATACATGATATCCATTTACTAACTATCTCTTTTGTAACGTGCGCATATTTAAATTATTTAGAAATCCAAGACGTCACTTGAAAAAAAAACTAAAGAAATCGCTGAAGCGGTACTTCGGCGGCGTCCGCAAAATGCCGCAGAACGCTGCGGCTATCGTACCACGGATTGATAGTGTTTATTTTGTTATGAGGTCCATATTATTACACATTTTATTGCAGATGTTAAATTCATTAACTATATATATATATATATATATCTATATATATATATATATATATTATATATTTACTTATATCATTGTCCAGTTGAAGACAATTTACCGATAGTTAATAAAAAAAGTTTACGAAAAATTAATTTATATGTTTTTACGAGATTAATGGCAAACCACCAGCTTAAGCAGGAATAGTTCTCTGATATAAAAAAATTGATAAATATTTTTAAGTTAACCAAGCTGTAAGATTATATATCTAACTTACAATCAGCTAAGATATGAAAGCTAATCAAGAGCATGACGCATTCAAAATAATAGAGTGACACAATATATTGTAGCGAAATCTAATGCTCATGCAAAATGCAATGAATCTTTTTAGCTCCTGCTATAGTTACCAGCTTTAAAGAGTTACTGACGGACGTAGTTCATAATTTGAATCTATGTCTGAAATCTGAAATTAAATTGATGTTAATTTAATATTTTAGAACCCGCGAGGACATAGATACAACGAAAAAATTGTAAATTATATAAAATACATCAAATATTAAATACGATAGATCACTCAGAAGTGCTCGGAAAAAAAGGTTTTTTTTGTATGAGATATTGTATAGTTATAATTTATAACTATACAATATCTCATACATGAATTATTACATAAATGATTATTAGATAATACAATTATTTACAAGTAAAAAGAAGAGAGTTCCAATTTCAAATTTCCATATAAATTTTTACGAGCTGAATTGAATTATTGTGGTTCATTAAAAAACTGATCTGTATCGAGAAAATTTTCGCGCGTTGATTTTTTGATTTTAAATGTCGCTTAAAACTGAACACATAGTTTGGATTTCAGATGGCATATATGATAAGGCAACCGTATACAGCTGTTTTATCAAATTTCAGCACAGTAAACTAATTCTGAGAACTGAAGTAAGAAGTGGTAGTCCTTTGACAGCTGTTATGAAAGGAAACGTATTAGCGGAAAAAATAAATAAAAGGGCTACTCTTTTAATGAAAATTTTCTCTGCAGCGATTTCACGTACGAAGAGATTCAGCGGACATGAACACTTTTGCGTGAAGTGTATAGTACTTAAAAGCAGGCCTGCGTGGAATCGTGCCGTGACATGATTAATTAATTCAAAACAGGCTACTTTCGGCATGTTTACGAAATTATTACAAGTGGTAAATTTTAAATATAAAAATAAGTTTTCGAAACAAAATGCCAGTCGGTTTGGCGGTTTCAAATCTGACCAACGCCCACCAAAGTAATGCGAGCACGAAGCATATGGGACATTTTGACCGCGGCTTTATTTACTTTGGAGGGGTATCTGTTGTTGATTTCTTTATGAAGTCGAAGTAGCATCGATGTTGAATATATACTTATACGTTATAGAGCCATAGTGCAGCTACATTAGTAGTAAAGTTGTATCACGACTCAACCGGGGAAGAACCACGCTCTCAAAAAACCAGCGTAAAACAGCAGCTTAACACTGCTATGTTTTATATGGTGAGGGTTGAGAACCGTACACCCTTTTTTTCTGAAAACGAGACATTCCATTTTAGTCCTCACGGGTGACAACGCATCCGAATTTTGATTCGTAGCATCCACTTACCATCTGGTTAACTGTGTGCTCGTTTGTCATTCTTATCCTATAATAAAATAGCTTATAACAATAGCTTATATCCTATAACAAAAAAGCTTATGGGTCACACTCCTTTTAGCTTTAATTTGGTAGAGTGTGTCTTCTTTTTATTCCCTAAAATGAAAATTCAGCTGTAAGGGATATAGTTTCCATAGCTGAAAAATCGCTGGCAGTGTTCAAGCATGTCGTCAAACAGGTGTCTGAGTCGGAATGGAATAATTATTTTTCAAATTGGTTCATGAAATTTTATATGCTGATCAAGAGTTCTTTTAATGCATTTTGTAATAAGAAATTTGTCCAAAGACTTTTATTTAGTTTTCCGAAATGATTTGAGTGACTCACGTAGTCATTTCTAATGCAAAATAAACTCTATCTTTAAAATTGCACCTTAACTTAGAATTGAGCGAAAAAAAATAACGTTAGATTGAACAATTTATCTTATTGGTTTTATACTTATTTTTTTAATTCATTGTACACATTTATTGATTAGGATTAAAATTATTTAACAAGAAGTTTTTACGTGTACATTGTTGGCGAACTCGCTGCAATAAAATTATAAGGTGGTTCAATACTGAGGAACATATTTAGTAACTAGTAAACCGCTTAATTATAATGAACGAATGAACGAATGAAATTTCAATATTATAAGAAATACTGAATAAGTTTTTAATATTTTTGGAATATGTGTTTTATTTTATTTTTTGTTAAGCATATTTACGTTTTGTTAATTTATTGCTCAAATATATCACTAGTAAGTGTTTTATTTTTTATTTTACATTTACTAATTATTAATAATCTTATTTATTTCACACACAAACAAATATTTAATAAATAAAAAACGTGTAGTATGTCTCACAAAACACAGTCGTTTGGTCACTAACTATAATCGGAGATGGTTTCCGCGCGTGCACGAGTGTGTTAGTGGTGCACGGGCAGTGAGAGTTAGAATGTGTAGCGGCGACCTGTAACACATTACTCGAATTAGCGGCCGTAAACAAAATTAATACATATTTTAATAATAATTCCAAGCAGCACAATAGCGTGTACGACGGGAGATAAACTGAGCAATTGTGAAAGGCAAATTAGGCTACTTGGAGCCAAATTGATGAACAACCAACTTTTATTTATTTTATACGTGATAGAGCCATGTTGCAGCCATATTATAGTTGTGGCACGAATGGCTCGGCTCGACCGGGGAAAGACCTCGCTTTCACCGTATACCATGAGTAAATAGAACCATAGAACCTTTTTACTAAAATCAGGCATTTCATCTTAGTAGAAATGACAACGCTTCTGCATTTTGATTCTTAATCGGGGATAGATGTAAATTTCTATAGGCCATCCAATTATATCAGGTGGACTCTGTGCTCGTTTATGACTCCTTTTCAACAAAAAAATTTCATAGTAAAATCAGGTTGCAGCGAACTATAGTTATAGCACGAATAGGCCGGTTCGATCGGAGAAGGAATACTGACGTATAATAGCACCACAATACGGTTGTTTCATGGGGTTAGTAACAAGAAACTTTTTTCGTGACCAAACCCTTTTTACAAGCAATTTTTGTACTGTCCCATCAGATGGTAAGTGATGATGCAGCCGAAGTTGATAAAGCGCACTGTTTTAGCTTAACAAAATCCTATTGACTTTTGTTTTAAAGACATTATCTTTATAATCGGAAGGAAAGACAATTGCTGGCACTCTATTCCACTCATTTGCTGTACGTAAAAAGATCGACGAATCAAACCATTTGGTTCGAATTCGTGGTTTGACAACAACAAAGCACTGGAGACCAGCCGAGCGTCTGGTGGTCCGATGATGGAAGAAAGAAGAGAGTGCCTATGAGCAAAATGCGTTTTGATAATTAATTAAGGACAAATGTAGATATCTATGGGCGACAGTATCCACTTACCATCAGGTGGATTGTGTGCCCGTTTATGACCATTACTTCTATTAAAAAAACAAACAAGTAAATATTTTTTTTATAAATGACTTGTACCTGCAAATGCATTCGGACAACTTATGATAAAATTAAAATTAAATAGTTTATTTTATTCCTGATTATATAAAACTTTAGTAGTGTTTTTCATCCGTCCGTCCTAATAAGCAGAGACTTTGTAAAAAGCAGGAAAATATTTAAAAGCATTTGAAAAGTTACAGCCAATGTTTGATATTTATTTAATTTTGTTTATAATAAAACTTAGTATGACAAAACATAACATAAATAAACTCTCATTCCATGTAGGCTTCCATTTGTCATTATACTAACACACCTCTCTCACTTATTTTACATACCCTCATACACGAATACATGCTCGTAGATTAATGGTACTCTTTATTCGGTCCATCGTCATTAGATCGCTAATTTGGACGATAAACATTTGTCTAGCGCGTCCTTTGCCGACTCTGCCACTCATTTCTGCAGCATAAATTTGCTTTATCACTCTTTCCTCGTGCATGCTTTTTATGTATCCAAACCACCTAAAGCATTTCTTTCTTAATCGTACGTCTTGCGACCTATATTTTTTCTTATATCACGAATTCTCGCCCTATTATTATTAATAATAATTATAAATTTTATTACCACAAAATAGGGTTTACAATATTTTAATTTCAATATTGATATGAATATTATAATTGCTTATTTATTTAAATTTCTATAAACTTAAAAGTAGTCCACGTAGAATATTAAATAATTATAACTTAACAAAAAGTAAAAACAGACTTCAAATTACTAAAAAAGTAGTTGTTAAATTGCATTTTTTATTATATCGTATTTTTTCTCCAAATTTATATTGAACTACCTTTGTAGTATAAGCTATTTAAGAAAAAAAAATCATTCAAAATTTTTTCTAAATTCTTTATTTGTGAAGATTTCATACATATTAAAATTTCTTAAACAATAGGGGG